TGTGGGTGTGGGTGTGGGTATGAGTGTGGGTGTGGGTATGAGAGTGGGTGTGAATACAACATCAATATTTAATACTCACACTCACACCCACTCGCCTTTCCCATCACCTGATGTAATATCATGCATGTATCCCATTGGATATGGTGTTCGTTGAGTAAAAACCATGTCAGCGAACGGGCTTTTCTAGGGAAAAAAATGCGTGAAAGTCATAATTGCGAAACACCTTTTGCCCTCACCCTCACCCTCACTTTTCGTCCATACTCTCATCAAGAAAAATCATTTCGCTAAAAAGCCTTGCGCTGAATAGCACCGCTACCCTCGGGGTATAGACAATTTTTTATTAACAGTCGTCAGAGATCATTATTTCAGTAACACACAAAACTTCACATAAAAATGTTGTTTATCAACGTTTGCTTTGAAATAAGAAGATAAGTGACTATATACATACAGAAAAGATAATAACAATGATGACAAACAAAAGACACTGCAGAACGATAATATCACATGAAAGTAATATCAAGTGATGAATTGTGTGCTTTTCGGCATAATCATCAATTTCATGTAAAGATGCTTTTCTTGTCCTTATCTATTGCAGCTATTAAACGGCCCTTCGCGAGCTCCTATTTAAAGGTGAATATGTTGATACAAAATATTAAGAACTCTCTTTTGTTATATTATTCAAAAGTGAGATAAGAGTATTTTGTGCTGCAAACAAGTACTGGTTGTCTTTTTATTATTTCAATTAGAAATTATTTTATATACTGGTAAGTTTCATTATTTATATTTAGACTTGTGTATTGTGACTTTTATTTTAACCAAAATCTTGATTAATTTATAAAAGGACACATTCTTCAGCAGTTGGACATCGTTAAGTTGTATAATTTCGATCAAACTCTTACATAATTCTACAGAAATAATTTAATCATCTTAACGTTCAAACATGAAATAAGGAACTTATGAGTTAGAATACATTTCAACTTTTTCACTATAAGTTAAGTTAAATAATTAATTTAGATCAAATTCAATATAAACTCATCGTCGCTAGATGTCATTTATATTCGTAAATACTCCAGAATAGACTTGCAATTTTACGTGATCGATAAAGACAATTTGTTTCTTTCGTATAGACATACAACAAACCAACACAGTTTAGGCTTAAGTCATATATCAAAAGTCGCCAATAGAGATATGCGCGACCAGATTTTTCTGGTTTCAGTGCCGGTCTAGCCCTAGTAGCTCATTTTTTATCAGTCCTGATCGTAGCAATCTAGAGTCTAGTATGTTTCGGACCTTGGCCAGATCCGGCAGCTATTTTTCTAGTGGCCCCGGTTTCGATCACAGTCCCGTTAAAGCTCTATTTCTTGACTCCAGCTTCGGCTACAGGGATAGGGTTCGGAACCGGGATCGGAGCTGGTCCCGCACATCTCTAATCACGAAACTATGTCTAATGCTTTATACTATAAAATATCATACTAACCTCGTTATGTACTTCATGATTTTCAGTAAAAAATTCAATATTTGCGCGCCAACTTCTGTGCGCCGACACTTACACGCACGACTCTTACGTGCAGAATTATTATTTTTTAAAGCTTGTTACCGTAGCTTCTTTGGGCCTAAAATGTGGAGCTCGCATATTTACTACGAGTACTAAAAGAACCCAGCCATTGAGCTTTGATCACGATGTCTAATGATTATTTAGCCTGTTGTTGAGCTTTAAACCTCCTGGTTCCGGAGGCTTGCAGATAGAAGAAGATGGCGAAAACAATCAACATGTAAACTCAGATATTTTTAATTAAGAATACTCGCCTGTAATAGTAGTCTGGTTGTGAGGGAGGAGCAGGGAGGAAAAAGTTGAACACTGAGTTTTTCGATTCTTCTAAAGTTTTTGATTAAAAACTAAAAACACTTGGCTTTTTCCCTGCGACGAGTGAGGGATGTGAGAGTCATAAAATTTGTACTTATAATTTATACTCACATTTTTATATGCAAGTACCACAAAAAATGACTTTGCCCGTAGGAGTAGTACACGTAAGTGTCGTGTTCTTTTCATTTTAACAATCATATAAGTATTTATGTTAAATATTTCTATAATTTTAATATGTCTTATATATATTTATATTTAAATGAAATTTAGTGTCAAAATGAAGACTAAGTATACTCCTACGGCAACTGATGATGGTGATATCAAAACAAATGATTTGGAATTGCCAGATTTTCAGATTGATGATCAAGAACGCCAACCAATATATGAAAAAATGGAACAGGATCATCAATTACCACAACAGTAAATAATTATCATTGATTTATTTTAATATAATTCTTTTTTTCTATTATATTATGTTAATAGATCATCGCGGAAACGAACATTTCGTTCAAAACCAATTCGAACTATAAGTATTATTATATTACTCATTTCTATGATTAGTGTTGGTATTATTGGATATATTCATTACAATACATCAAATACAACTGAAACACTCGTTAACGAAAATCAAGGTAAATTATCAATTCATTCTGGAATAGTTTTATAAAATCTGAAATACTTTCCTGAATCTTATTGAAATCGATATTTTTGTTTTTGATTAAATATAATAATAATAATATTTATAAATTTAGATGAAAGTGAACGAATTCCTCAATTACGATCATATTCAAATGACGACGTAAATATTTTTATTTTATTTAACAAAAAAAATTTTTTTTTTTATTTGATAAAATAGGATTCTGATTATCCTGAAATTGTTGGTCAAATGCATATTTATTTTCGTCAATCACCACATTCGTTTTATCGACGATCATTTGAAAAACTTACTATTCCTGTTGCAAGATACAATCGTCGACATTTTCGTAAAAAAATATTTTTTTTTCTAATAAAAAATTAAATTTTCTTTATTTTATTTTTTAGCTTTAAAAGGTCCATTTATTAGTTTAATGCCACGAATGCCAATATTTGCTGATCGATACAATAAACAAACAATTATTTATTCGAAAAGAAGTTCAAGTTAATATTTATATTCATATTTATTCATTTATAAATAATAAATTTATTTATTTGTTTATTTAGCCTTAATTTATGTTTTACCAGCATTAAATGATAAACATGGAAAACGTTTTTCGATTGCAGAATTAATTAAATCAGGTCATGTTAGTTTATCAAATACTGGTATACAACTAAAATCAGATATGGATATGTCAACATACTTTCGATCAGAATCATGTTTGTTTTATTTTTTTGATTTAAATATTTGTAATCATTTATTTCTTATTTAATAGTAAAAGGTTCAAATATTCCACGAATAAATTCTCGTACAGGTGGTTTTATGGATGGTTATCATACTAATTATGAATCATTATCAGTACCAACATATGATGAAGTTACAGTTGATAGTAATGAAATGTTTGGCTCAGAAGAAAAAAGTGAAGAGAAGAATGATGATGATAAAGAAGAATATAATAACAATAAAAATGATCAAGATTCTTCTAATCAATATGAAAATGATGAAAAATCACGATCACCTCGACGTCGATATCCTGCACGTCGACGTCCACGACCTACACGACGACCACAAAGTAATATTTAGTCTCAATAAAAATCATTATATAATCAAATTATTTTTTTTATTTTATTTTAGCTTATAAAACGAAAACAACAACAACAAGAAAATCAAAAACAACAACTGAATCGTAAGATTTCATTAATATCTGTTTGATTAAAATTTAATATTAATTAATAAATAGGGAATCAAAAACAAAAAAACCTAACGGAAAAATTATTGATAATGTTGCATATTTTCAAGGATCAAATTCGAAAAATCAATTAGGTGGATCAAAAGGAAAAGCAGTAACATATAATAGTATTGATGGTTTAAATGAATACACAACATTTCCTAATGGAACATTACAAACTGA